CGCCGTCCTGTTCCGGACCGGAGCAATATTGGGGACCCCTCTGCACCCCGAGACTCAGCCAGCACCGAGTCACTTGGGGGAGTCTGTTGGCCACAGCTGGTTCCCGGTCACTCTGGGGTCTCCTGTGCTGGGCCCCCCCTCCACTGGGCTCCAGGACACTGTGTTCTCCCTCGCTCACTCTCTCTCCCTCTCTTCCTCACTCTGTCCCCCTCCCTCCTTCCCTCTCTCCCTCTCCTCTCCTCTCCTCTCCCTCGCTCAGTCTGCTCTCTCCCTCCCTCTCTCCCTCTCTCCTCTTTCTCTCCTCTTTCTCGCTCCCTCCCTCCTCTCTATCCCTCTCTTTCTCTCTTCCTCCCTCTCCCCCTCCCCCCCCACCCCTCCCCAGAGGAAGTGCCCTCCAGGGCCTCTGAGTGCGGTGGGGGGGGGCGTTGAGGACCCAGCCCCGCACCCGACTGGAGCCCCCCACCCCCACCCCAGTCTCATCTCAGCGTTTCGGCTGTTCTCTGGCATGTTTGCGGCTGCCAGCAGCACCTTGGCACAGACACCTCCTCCATGCAGCCTGCCGTGACCATATCTGGGCTGGCACCGGGGGAAGCGTTCCCGGGGGATTCGTCAGGAAGGGCCGGGCGGGCGCTGCCTCCCCCGCTCGGTCCTGCGGGTCCCCCCCCTGCTGGCTGCTCTTCCAGCTCAGGGTTCCAGCAGGCTTTGCCTTTCCGGGCTCCGGGGAATGTGCTAGAAAATCCCCCGGGCGCTCCCCTCTCCCCACGCCGGGCGGAGCGGGGCTGCCAAGGGCACTTTGTCTGCCTTCACCTGGTAATTAGTCTTGTTGGGTGAGCGACTCGCAGCCAGGGACGGCTATTGTTACTCGCCCGGCTCTGGAAGCGTCTATTGTTATTCAAATTGCCAGGTGCGGCTCCGGCTCCTTCCCGCTCCCGCTGCCAGCTGGGGCCTCCTGCGGGGAACCGGCTCTGGGCCCCCCAGCTCTGGGCCCTGGACAGAGCCCCGGCCCCCCGACCCGCCCATGAGGGGCTGTCGGTTGGGAACGGAGGAGAGAGAGAACAGGAGGCCCCGGGGATGGGTCCTCAGACAACCAGAGAAACTCACACAGCAGAGGAGGGCACCGCGGGCGGGCGGGGGGCCGGGGCCACGCTGCTGCGTGGGTGCCCCCAGCTCTGGCAGGCTGAGCCCGGGCGGGCCCTGGGGTTTTCTGGGAGAAGAAACGGTGGCGTTGGTCCAGGTGAGCTGTCTGCCCAGGGTTTGACAGAAGGGTCTGATAGGTGGAGGGCTGGGGGCCGGGGTCCATCCCCAACCCCACAGGGTCCCCGAGCACTGCTGAGACTCACTGTGAGCACAGAACTGGGAGTAGTTCCTGAGCACCAAACTGGGAGTAGTTCATGAGCACAGAATTGGGAATGGCTCCTGAGCACTGAACTGGGAGTAGTTCCTGAGCACAGAATCAGGAGTAGTTCATGAGCACAGAATCGGGAATGGCTCCTGAGTACCGAACTGGGAGTCATTCTGGAGCACCAAACCTGGAATAGTTCCTGAACACATAACCAGGAGTAATCCCTGAGCACTGAACCAGGAGTAGTCCCTGAGCACAGAACTGGGAGCAGTTTCTGGCGGTGGGTGTCGCTATTGCTCCTTGCTGAGCCCGTTGGGCAGAAGCACCCTGGGCTCCACCCCTCATCCCACACGGTCCCTGGTTCGACCCAGGCAGAGGGGGAGTGAGGCCACGGCCCCCACCCCCCCACCCAGGATGTGGCCCCAGAACAGAGGCAAGGGCCGGACTCAGCCCCAGGAGCGTGTGGGCCGGGCCGAGGTGCCTGCAGGGCTGCCCAGACTCAGCCGTGGCACCTGGCAGGGCCCATCCACCTGCCAGGACGAGCCCCGAGCACTGCCCGGTGAGCACTGCCTGGTGTGGCTCGATCAATGAACCTGTCATTCAAAGAAGACTCTCCCTGGGCTACTTTTTAGCTTCATTCACTTGTTTTCGGGGTGGGGTGTCGCAGGGCTCAGGGCTGACTCCCGGCTCTGTGCTCAGGAATCCCTCCTGGCGGGGCTCAGGTGACCAGATGGGGTGTCGGGGTCAGGGGTCGAACCTGGGTGGGCTGTGTGCCAGGCCAGCCCCCTCCCCGCTGTGTCTCTCTCCCTCTTGCGAAATGCCCTGTCCCGGGCCCCGGCGCCTTCTCTTCCCGCTCCGGCCAAGCCGCTCCCTTGGGCTCTGATGCTCCGAGCGTCCATCCTGGCCGTGTCCCGAGCGCCGTGCTCGGATGTCCTGCCCGTGTCCTGCGGCCTTGGCCCTCGCCTCGCTCTGACTCAGCCCCTCGGTGGCATTTTGCCACGTCTTGGCAGCCGCCGAGTTCGTCTGTCCATCATCCCCTTGGGGGTTTTGTTATTCTGACCTGAGTGACCGGGTTGGGCTCAGGGCCCGGGCCTTCCCCTGGGGAAATTTCCTTCCTCTCAATGGCATCAGGACAGGGGTCGGTTCTGGCTGGCTCCGCGCAGTGGTGGGAATCGGGGTGTTTGGGTTTTCCCCGCCCGCCCCCGCCCCAAACTTCACCTGTTAAAGGATAAAAGAGACAAATCAAAATAGGGGCTGGAGCGACAGCACAGCGGGGAGGGCGTTTGCCTGGCACGCGGCTGACCGGGTTCTATCCCCGGCATCCCATAGGGTCCCCCAAGCACTGCCAGGAGTGATTCCTGAGTGAAGAGCCAGGGATAACCCCTGGGCATCACTGGGTGTGACCCCAACCCCAAATGCTCTGATACCAGAGACCAGAGTGATAGTACAGTGGGAGGGAGTTTGCCTGGCTCATGGCCGACTCGGGTTCGATCCCCAGCACCCCCTAAAGTCCCCCAGCACTGCCGGGAGTGATTTCTGAGCATCGCCGAGCCAGGAGGAACCCCTGAGCATCACCGGGTGTGCCCCAAAACGCCCACCCCCTGCCCCAATACCCCACCGGACGTTGAGACCTTCCAGCCCCTTCCTCTCGTCCTTCTGAGACTCTCTGGGCCTTGCACCCCGAGCCCCCCAAGGCGACGCCCGTGCAGTGTCCCACTCAAACTTGGCCCACTCTCTGCCACTTCCCGGCTCTCCCTGGAGCGTCAGTGACATTCCAGCCGCGAGCCCTGGTTCCTCGAATTTTACACTGACATTTCCGCCTGTCCGTCCGTCCATCCGTCCGTCTGCCCAGCCGTCTGCCCTGCCTGCCTGCCGCCTTTCTCTCTCTCTCGGTTGTCAAACCCAGGACACCAAATGACCTCATCGTTCTGCAGTGACAGGCGGGAGGCCATCACTGACGTTCAGCGTTGTCACGGAACCTTCCAGAACATTGCCCGTTGCCCCCCCCTCCTCCACCACCACCTTTCAGGCCCAGCGAGTTCTGGGTGGGCTTCGCTGGCCGCCGGGGGCACCCGCCTGCGCCGCCTTCTCCCGGGCCCGGCGGGTCTGGCTGGTTCCCCTGGCGGAGACAGCAGATGCGCCCGGCCCGGTTTTGTCATCGAGTTCATGATGCGCTTTCTGCTTTTATAGTTTCTCTGGGGGCTGTCAGTTTTCACCATATGGGCTGTTTTCTTTGTTTTATTTTCTGTGTATATGTCTTCTGACAATTTGGAAAGCTGTGTTTTTGGTCCCGTGGTTATCTTCATAATTATGCAGCGATATGAAACCCTTAATCCTCTATTTAGACAATGTTTATTTCCGCCCGATTACGAACAGTCTCGAAATGAGAATATTCCTGCTTTCCCTCGCTTCCATCGAGCCGCTTTCGGCGCTGATCCTGTATCATCCCGTTTTCCTTCCTACCTCGCGTTTCCCGTGAATCTCTAAATGCTTCTCTGGTGCCCGGCTGTAAAGGAAGTTAGCCTACATTCCCTTCTGCCTGCCGTGCCAACCGGGTCTGTTTCTGATGTCAGTCCTGTCCCTTTGTTCTGACTTTTTTTTGGGGGGTCCACACCTGGCTGTGCTCGGGACTGACTCCTGGCTCTGTGCTCGGGGCTGACTCCTGGCTCTGTGCTCAGGGCTGACTCCCAGCTGTGCTTGGGTCTGACTCCCGGCTCTGTGCTTGGGGCTGACTCCTGGCTCTGTGCTCAGGGCTGACTCCCAGCCCTGTGCCCGGGGCTGACTCCCAGCTGTGCTTGGGTCTGACTCCCGGCTCTGTGCTCGGGGCTGACTCCTGGCTCTGTGCTCAGGGCTGACTCCCAGCCCTGTGCCCGGGGCTGACTCCCAGCTGTGCTCGGGGCTGACTCCTGGAGGACTCAGGGCACCCCAAGGGCACTGAGGATCAAACCCAGGCTGGTCACATGCTCCCCTTGTCCCATCTCTCTGGCCTCCTCTGACTTTTAAATTCCCGCGTCATTCATTGGGAGATTGTAGCCCCCGGGATGGCCCAGCAGACCCCAGGGGCCAGTGATGCAGATGGGGGTTCTGGGAGGCCCACAGGACCCCGCAGGTGAAGGGGCCACTCAGTGCCCACACTGGACCCCGGCTACCTCCACTGGCTGCACACGCAGTGCCCGAGACCCCCTTTGCCTGCTCAGTTCTGCTGGCTCATGGGGCATTGCCCAGAAGCCCGCTCTGCGTTTTCTACCTACTGGGCACAGCAGGGCAGGGTCAACAGAGCAGGGACACCTCTGGGCTCTGGCAGCCGGTCAGTGCGCCCTTGCGGAGGCATTAAACTGGGCACCGGACTCAGCGTGGGCAGCTGCCCTGGGTCACTGCTCAGCCGCGGGGCCTCTCTGGTCCTGGGGGACGATGGAACTTCCCTGAAAGTATCACGGGAGCGTCCCTGACCTTGAGGCTCCTGTCCAGCAGTGCTGGCCTTAGTTGTCGGCATTGGTCACCTGTTTGCTGAGCACGAGACAGTGACCGTCTCTCTCCCCAAAGCCCCCTCCCAGGGCCTGGTGGGGGGTGGGGTTTGAGGCCAGGCACGGCCTGGGGGCAGACAAGTGGTTCCTCCTCCCCCTGGGAACCGTGAGCTCCACATCCCGCATCCCGACAGGGCGCGTGTGAGGGGCACAGGTGAGTTGCAGAGGACGTGTCGCGAGCCACAGCCCAGGCAGGTTCCCCTGGAACCGTCTGGAACCAGACGCAGAATCTCCACTGGGAACATCCGGACTGCGAACAGGACACTGAACAGACGCGAGAGTCTGCATGCAGATTCTTGTTTTTTTTTTTTTCTCCCAGTTTTATTTTATTTTTATAAAGTAGTTCACCATCATGGATCACGTTCAATATTCCATCACCAGCCCACCACCTTTATTTCGAACTTCTCCATCCCCTCCCCCACCAAGCAGGTCCTAAATGATTTATGCCGTGTGGCTTGTTATGAATAAGGCTTTAAAAATTATCCCAAGGGGCTGGAGTGATAGTACAACGGGTAGGGCATTTGCCTTGCATGCAAACGACCTGGGTTCGATTGCCAGCACCCCATAGGGTCCCCTGAGCACTGCCAGGAGTCATTCCTGAGTGCAAAGCCAGGAGGAACCCCTGAGCATCACCGGGTGTGACCCAAGAAGCAAAAAAAAAAAAAAAAAACCCAAAAAGTGTCCTTGAAGGGTAATGCGTGAAGACAGCAGGACCCGCACCAGAGCCATTAAGCCCATGAGGTCACTAACGTGTCATTATACAGGTTGAGGCTTGTGGCACATGGATTCTTTCCTCTCGGACTTTCCCGTGGAAAGGTCTGCCGAGCACTGTGCTTGGAGTCATCAACTCCTGCACTTTTTGTGTTTCTTTTTCCGCCTGGGCAGGGGCCGGCTCTCTGGGTGCGGGGGGCGGGGGAGCGCTTGTCCTGGAGTCAGACAGAGGGCCAGGGGGTTGGGGGCAGGGGAGTGGCCACGGCGAGAAGTCAGAGTGTCCCACCCACTCACCGCAGCGCCCGTCACAGTAGCAGAAGCAAGAGACACGCAGACACACGAGGCACAGTGCAATAGGCCGACAGACAGACAGACAGACAGACAGGCATGGCCCAGGACGGAGAGAGACGTTGCTGAAATGAACAGCTCAGTTTGGGGGGCTCGGACAGAAATGGGGCACTGGGGCGGGAGGGCAAGAAGGCAGCTCGGAGGGGGGTGGGGACTCCTTCAGGGGAGAGCTTGGGGCTTAGTTTGGGGGGATGGTGCTCCCGAGTGGTGCTCGGGGAAGTCGGCGGTGGGGGCAGGGGTCGGGGGTGGTGTCATCTGGTTCTCGGACCCTGGGTCTGCGTGTGTGATGCCGGCCGGGAGCATGTGGCCTTGGGGACGGAGCCCGAACCCTCGCCCTGCACCCTGGCCACTGTGCTCTCCCCCGGACCCCGGGGTGGGGAGCTTTGGGGACGGGAAAATAAAACCGTGAGAACCAGCACGTGCGGGGACAGAGCTGAGTGGGGGTGGGGGACCGGGGCCTCGTTGCGCCCTCTCCCACCTTCTCCCCGCGGCCCCCCGTTCACCAGCCTGACGGCCCCCGTCTTCTCTTCTGCAGAGACCCCCCCTGGCCGTGCCTCAGGATGAGGGAGCCCCAGGACGCCGGCATGGCCCCCGATAAGAACCGCCTGGACGGACGCCAGCGAGAGCCGGGGGGGACGCGCCCCCCGCTCCCCCCAGCCCCGGACTCCTAAGCTCAGGAGCGAAACTCAGGGGTGGGGGCTGGGTGCGGGGAGCAGCCCGGCCACTAGCAATAGCCCCCCGGGGCCTGTGGCTCCTGGGGGCGCCGTGACGGGCTGGGCGGGCGGCGAGGGTGGACACTGAGTGAGGGTGCGTGCGCTGTGGTGTGGGGCATGCTTCACGGTAGGGGGGTGGGTTTCCTGCGTCCCCCCGAGTTTGAGCTAGATTTGGGGTCACCCAGAGGGGCCTCCCCTGCACTGTGGGCTCCAGCCTCGGCCGCTGGGAACAGGATGGCGTTGGTGGGCTCAGCCCCGCTCTATTTTCCGAGGATTCTGGGAGTCTGGAGGGGCCAGAGAGGACCCGGACACCCCCCCAACAATAGCAGGAATAGGGCTGGGTCTCGGGCCGAGCACTAAGTTAGGAGTCTTCTGGTCCCCTTGGGGGGGACGCTTCCCCTCGAGGATGATCCCGAGAGGGATGAGGTGGGGGGGTGTCCTGTAGTGGTGACACCATCAGGGCCCCCAGGGGTGTGGTCACTCGGAGGTCAGGTCCCCGGCTGTGTCTTCCTATAACGTCTCGTGTGGGGGCCCCATCTGCAGAGTCCTGCCCTGGCCCCACCAACCCTGGGGAGCCGTCACGGGACAGGCAACTCACATGCAAATCGTGGCTGCACAGGGAGAAGGTTCTAGAAGGTTCTGGAGCCCTTCACCCCTCCTGCCCCCCTCCCCAGTGCTGCTCTGGGCACCCCCCGGGGGCAGTCCCACAGTCCCCAGGCTGCAGTGTGGACGCCCCCAGCTCCTCACAGTGCTGGGGTCCAGCCGGGCGCCCTCACACCCAGCTCAGGGCGAATGTTCGGGGCAGACGGCAGCTGACCGAGCTGGGGATGCCACGCAGGGGACAGGCGCGCCCGCCGGGGTGGGCAGTGCTGAGGGCAGCCTCGGGGTGGTGGGTTTCAAGGAGTCCAAAGAAATGGGGGTGTCTGGTTCAGGGTCCGAGGGGGGTCTCGAGATCAGGGGAGAGGAAGCAGGACTAACCCAGCTGGACCAGGACCCTGGCTGGGCCGAGTGACGGGTGGCCCTGGAGAGCAGCAGGGTCAGCCCGTTCCTGCCCCCACCTCAGGGGGACCCCCTCCCCCCAGTCAGAGGAGTCAGGACTTGGCAAAGGGAGCGGGGCCTGGACCCAGATTCTGGCATCAGTTCTGCACAGGGGTCGGGGTGGGGGGCAGGAAGGAGCCATCCCAGGCGTCTGCTTCCGCCCCGGCATCAGTGGACGACCCCCGCACGGCTGCATACTCAGAGGTGTTGCCCGCCGGGGAGGAGCGGGCAGTCTCGCCTGCCCAGGCCGCAGGATGGTCAGCACCGGCCGGAAGCAGACGCGCGGGTCCCCGGGCTGAGGTGTGCGACTCACTCCCCCTGGTTGGGGGGAGGGTGACTGGGGCCCCCGGGAGGAATGCTGGAATGTTCTGGAGAGAGAAGCACCCGAGGGGCTCAGCCGACATCTCGGCCCAGAGCGAAGATGAACCCGGAGACCAGGCAGCCGAACAGCCGAGCCCCCGCCCGCCCTGATGTGTGAGCCTCAGTTTCTCTCCTCGTGGGCAGGCGAGTGGGGCAAGGCCAGAGGATGTTGCCACCTCTGCCCACGTGGGAGGAGACCCTGCCCCACCCCCGCCGGCCCCGCCCCGAGCCCTGTGCCGAGGCAACGAGGGGAGCCTCAGACTCTTGTCCCCGAGATGGGCTGGTGGCAGGCGCCGTCCCCAAGGCCCTGCAGATGCCCTGCCCGCCGTGTCTGTGCCCTGCTGCGGGGGTCAGCCTCTGTCCAGCGCCGCCCCCTGGCAACCCCCCCCCCCCGGGCCGCCCCGGCCTGGGGGTCTGCCTTCCTGGCACTCAGTGGCCCACAGGAAACATGAAGCTCACATACATGTGCACATGCACAGATGTGCACACACTCAGCACATGTACACCCATGCACACACACGTGCACACTCACGCGTGCACACACACACACAACGCACACACCATCCTTCAGGCCCACAGCCAGGTGTGCTCACAGCTGCTTCAGAGCACTGGGGTAGCCAGGTTGGGGTGGGGGCACCTTCGTCACCCCCAGAAACCGTCAGGCACATGGGGCCCAGCACTGGGAGGTTGGGGAAGGGGGAGCGCGGTGAGGAGGGCAGGGGCTTCTGGGGGCCAGAGAAGTCTGGCGCCCACCATGGACCCAGAGGCCCGCGGGAAGGTGAGGGTCCCCGAAGCCCCTGCTTGCTGGCCGTGCTCTGTGAAGTTTCCCAGGGCCCGGCCTCTCCGAGTGCTTGGGGGCATTTCTGGTTTGCCAACCCGAGTCTCGGGGCCTCGTGTGGTGTGCGGGGGCGGCCGCGTCCCTGCCAGCCCCGAGGGGCCCCTCGTCTTTTTCTGAGTGGGATGGAGAGAGGTCGGAAGCTGTGGCCCACCCTGCCAGGCCGGGGTGCCTCCCCCCTCAGACCGTGCATCCCGCTGGATGGTCCCCGGGACAGTGAGGAGTGGACACCACGGTCACCACCGTTTGCAGCCCGGTGACAGCCTGTGACCCCCAAGAACAGACAAAGCACATGTGTCGGCAGCACCAGCTGGCACCTGGGGAGAGGCAGCGTGGGGCAGGCAGGTCAGAGACAGGGAGAGACAGAAGAGGGAGAAAGAGCCGACTGTCCCCTCTGCTCCAGCTGGCCCCCACCCCACAGGGTATCTTGGGGGACCAGGCGGTGCCCAGGGAGGGGGCAAAGGAGAGCGCAGGCCCCCACAGCAGGCACGGGCACCCGCCTTCTCCCCAGGAAGTGGTCTTGGAGGCAGCATCACCCCTTGCCCATGGCTCTGCCCTGCAGCTGGTTCCAGGGAGGGAGCCGCGCTGACCATTGGGTGTGCCGGCCCTAGAACTCCTATCTGTGCTCCAAAGCCCTGACTCTTTTGCCCTGGGCAGACAAAGCCAGGGCAGCCCCAGGGGCCACCTCTCACAACGCGGTCACACCCATGTGTCCGTCCCCCCCACCCCCGGGGGCCCCACTTCCGCCGGCTGTTCTGTGAGCAGGATGGAGTGTTGGGTGGCCCTCAGCTGCCCACCCAGAGGCCGGGTGTGGGGAGAGGGCGGTTGTCAGCTGGGTTCCGTGCGTGGGATCATGTAGGTGGCGTGGACAGTGAATGCCCCAAACAGGAGCGAGCGGGTGACCCGTGGGCCCTCTGGGGCACACCCCCCTCACCCTGGGGTTCTTCCCACTTGTCCCGGTTCCTCTCTGGGCACTGGCGGGGTCCATGGGATAAGCCGGGGCTGCCGTGGCAATAAGCGAGGGGGCCCTGAGCGCCGGGAGCCCCCCGAGGCCTGGTGCAGCCTCCCGAGTAGGCTTGGGGGTCTCCCTGAGGGTGGGTGGCCGGAAAAACCAAAAACCAGTCATCTCCGTACTAGCCTCCTCCCCTCCAGCGACCCAAGGGAATCCCGTAACCTGCGTGCCACGCTGTGCCCGTCTTCCTACCCGTGTTTTTATAAGGATGTCCTTAGGTTTTAATAAAGCAGTCACCCACTGTTCTCTGCACCCCGCTTACCTCGGACGTTTCTGTGTGTTGGTGGGTGCTGCACGCGGGCGGTTGATGGCTGGGCCCCGGCCCAGAGCCCCCTTTGCGCCTGGCCAGTGTCTCTCCTGGGGACTGTGGCCCCACAGTCGGGTGGGGGGGAACGGGAGGTCCAAATCGGGGGTCAGTATTTCGCTTCCCTTTTCTCTGGCCTCGGAGGTTGGCCTGAGCTGAGGAGATGGGCTCGGGAGCCCTGGTGGCCAGTGAGCTGCCCTTCCCTCCCCATCGAATAGCCCCTGGGCTTCCTTCCTCTCCCCTCCCACAGCCCTCCCCACAGGGCCCCTCGTGAAGCAGGCACAGTCCCCAACCCACTGGGCATCAGACACCAGCTCCTGGAGGAATCTGTCCGGGTGTGATGGGCAGGGCTCTAGGTTATCACTGACATGTCCCCCCTACCGAGCCCCTCTGAGCCCCCAGACGTCTCTGATTCCCGGGGACCTCCATCTGCTTTCAGCAGTGATACTTTTTTTTTCTTTTTGGGTCACACCCAGAGATGCTCAGGGGTTACTCCTGGTTCATGCACTCAGGAATTACTCCTGGCAGTGCTCAGGGGACCCTATGGGATGCTGGGAATCAAACCCTGGTTGGTCACGTGCAAGGCAAACACCATACCCGCTGTGCTATCACTCCAGTCCCAGCTGGAGTACTTTCAATGACACCGCCCAGCTCTGCACTGGGACCAAGGGGTCCCTCAGCCGGGTCCCTCCAGAGGGAGGCGCACAGGCAATGCAGCGCCCTCTAGAGGGGACGGAACCACATGCTGGTCGATGTGGTCTGATCCAACATTCCAAGGTCCTGAGGCCGGTAGGGGCTCCCCCCTGCACTGCAGGCCTCCCCCCTGCACTGCAGGCCTCCCCCCTGCACTGCAGGCCTCCCCCCTGCACTGCAGGCCTCCCCGGAGAGCCTGAGCCTGGCCCAGCTGGGGGTCCCCAGGCCCCCAAGCACCTCTGGAGGTGGTAAAAAACTAAGAAAAACTATTTCATTTTCATTTCATCATCCTGTTAATCGTCGATTGCCTCGAGCAGGCCCCAGTAACGTCTCTTTCATCCTAGCCCTGAGATTATATTCAAGGCTCTTTAGGAGAATGAGACCCATCATTGTTACTGGTATTTGGCATATTTGGTACGCCACCGGGAGTTTGCCAGACTCTGCCCTGTGGGCAGGCTACATTCGATAGCCTGCAAGTTTGTCCAAAGTAGGAATGAGATAATAAGATGTCATAATAAGATGACCGCGCGGTTCCGGGATCTGGATTTTATAGTCTCTGAGTCTTGGCCGCTGATGGGATTACACGGCGCCAGGGGGCCAGGTGGTGGGTGTGACCCCCGTCTACTGGAATTTGGAGGATCTGGGTGGAGGATGCTCGACTCCAATCCGAGTAGGCTTGGAGGTCTCGGCCCCGGAACCCGCGTGGCTTTGTCCCT